CTCTGACCCTCCCGCCTCTCATGTACTCTCTGTCTCTCTCTCCCTCTCTCTCTCATTCTCGCTCTCTCAAATAAATAAATCTTTAAAAAAAAAAATACAGGTTCCCATCCCAGACACTGGGAAGATGTGGTCCCGGGGTCAGGAAACCACCTTCAGAAGCCTGGCTCTTCACTTTGTGATACAAAGTAAAAACAAGAGTTCTGCTCCTCCTCCTATCCCCTCCCTAAAGGCCGGTCCTGTCCCTGATACCTGTGTTCACCTGCCTGCTTGTGTTCACCTGTCTGTCTGCCCTGCAGGGAGGAGGTGCAGGAGAACTGCGTGCGGTGGCGGAAGAGGTTCACCTTCGTGTGTAAGATGAGCGCCAACCCGGCCACCGGCCTGCTGGACCCCTGCATCTTCCGCGTGTCGGTGCGCAAGGTGAGGCTGGGCTTTGGGGCTGGGGCTGGGGCTGGGGGCTGCGGGCTCAAGGCCAACGCGGGGGCGTGAGGCCACTGATCCAGCGGCTTTAGCCCCATCCCCTGACCTGTCCCCTCCAGAGGGCAAGGAGTGAGTCACTCTGCTCCTTGGCTTGACTTACCCCCAGCAGTCAGATTCGGAGTGGGGGAAGTGCTGGGGAGATGCATGAGGTCCCTTGGATTCCCTAGTCACACTGCTGCTTCTGTCTGTCTCTCTGCAGGAGCTGAAAGGCGGGAAGGCTTATTCCAAGGTGAGTGGGGCTGGGAAGGGATAGTGGGGTACAGTAGCCATGAGAGAAGAGCTTCAGCCCCCTCTCCGCACCAAACAGGGGACCCTCGGCTCTGCAGGAGATGTATTCTTTCTTAGAAATATCTTTACTGATAGGCTTTGCGCTTAATACAAAGCTACCATATGCTTGTTGTAACACAAATGGTACAGAAGTTCAGAGTGAGGGGCACTTGGGGGGCTGTCGTTAAGTGTCTGCCTTTGGCTCGGGTCATGATCCCAGGGTCCTGGGATCGAGCCCCACATCGGGCTCCCTGCTCTGCGGGGAGTCTGCTTCTCCCTCTCTCCGCCTCCCCCGCCCCCCGCTTGTGTTCCTTCTCTCGCTGTGTCTCTCTCTCTCTGTCAAATAAATAAATACAATATTAAAAAAAAAAAAAAAAAGTTCAGAATGAGAAGTGCAGTTTCCACCCCCCTCCTCTGCAGGCTTCCTCCCCAGACCCCATCCTTGGATTTGTTAAGGTCTTCCCGGAACTTTTAAGAAAAAGAAAATTATGTCATTTACACACAGAGCTGCGAGTCAAACCCATGCGCATGCGGTGTAGAGGAACGAAAAATGAGCACCCGTGTGTGGACTTGTGTGCGTGCAGACAGTAGGAGTTTTACATACACAAAAGGGACTTGTTCTAAACAGATTCTGCAGTGTGGTTTTCACTTGCCATACATCGTGGGCACGTTTTCACAGATTTCCTTTTGCTTTCTAACCGTAGCAGTGCCCCCCTGTGCTGCTGGGTGGTGGGCGCCCAGCCGGTCCTGTGCTGCGGCCCATCTGTGTTGTTGCCATCTGCTCAGCACTCACGGGCACCAGCAGGAGAAGGCGGCTCTGCAGGGGTTGGCACTGGCTCTGAATAAGCCCGCTCTGCCCTAGACCCCCTTCTTGGTGGGGACTCACAGCCCACCCTCTGTGGCCCCAGGGAGGTGGCCTGGCGGCAGGCGGTGGACTTAGTCCGTCCAGAGGGGAAATGCCTTTGCCTCACCTCGCCCTGCGTGGAAGGCGTGTCCCTTCCCACTGACCGGAGCTCAGGAAGCTCGGTGTTCTGGGCTGTCCGCTCTGCCCCAGCCTGGGCGCTGGTGGCCCTCTCCAGAAACAGAGGGCGGGGTGGCTAGAACTGGGCTGTGGAAGGTGTCGCCAGAGTGGAAATTTCTCCTGCCATGAAGTCACATGGGCGTGGGTAGCTGCAGCCCCCACCTCCACCCGGCGGGCACTTACTAGGCGCCCAGCACGTGTCAGCCCTGCAGGCCCTTCCCTTCTGTCCTGTGATCAAACGCCCTTGACAGGCCCTGCTCCCATTCTTCAGGGAAGGAAGCTGGGGCCCAGAGGGGCAGCTAGACTGCACGCTGGTTGGGCCTGGTCTTGGGCCTGGCTCTGCTGGCTGGGCTGCATGGGGCTCTGGGCAAGTCACTTACCCCTTGGAACCTTAGTTCTCTTCCCTGCCAAATGGGGGTCCCTCTGACTCGATGGCAGGGCTGGTATTCGAACCTGCCAAGTCTCTGATTCTGGCTTGTGTGCCCCTAAACTCTGCAGTAGAGATTTGCACGTAGTAGGTGCTCAAATGCCCCCTGTTGATTTGGTTGTTCCCCAAGGCCCTAATCCCAGCACCCCCCCACCTTAACTCAGTCCCCCACCGAGGTATGGAGACCTGGCTTCTTTCGAAGGCTTTCCCAGATCCTACACCCTGTTCTCGAATGTGCTCCCACTTCCCCCCCACATCCCTCTGTTTCCGGGGGGCAGCCAGGTGTTCCTGCCAGCCCCTCATTCTAACCTCCATGAGGGACTCCTGCCCGCCCCCCACCCCCATTCCAAGTTCCCACGGGCCTTCCCTCCCCCCTGCCTGCTGGCCTGGCGGCTCCCACAGCACAGCCTTGTGTCCCAGGGAACAATGCCTCTGTGTCACAGACAACAATGTCCTTTCATCTCAGGCGCTGCCCCAGTGCACACTGGGACATGGCACAAAGGGCGCTTTGTGCGGCTCAGGGATGTGAGCTCCAGACCAGCCTCTGTCCTTGGGTGCCATTATGCAACACTCAGTCTGGGCTGTGGGGCGGGCCCAGGGGATCTTCCTGCCCCTGCCCCCCGCAAGTTAACCCTTATGCCGCCCGCTGGATGCCCACACCCCCTGCAGCCTCCCACACTCTCTTCTGTCCCTCTTAGCTGGGCTTCGCCGACTTGAACCTGGCTGAATTCGCAGGCTCAGGCTCCACAGTGCGTTGCTGCCTGCTGGAGGGATATGACACGAAGAACACTCGTCAGGACAACTCCATCCTCAAGGTACCAGGGCCCTGCCACCTCTCTGCCCCTTCCCACCAAGGGGCGGGGGCCAACCTGCTCCTCATCAGAGTCCCCTGGAGGGTTGTTAAAAATACAGGTTCCCAGGGCGCCTGGGTGGCTCAGTTGGTTAGGCGACTGCCTTCGGCTCAGGTCATGATCCCAGAGTCCCGGCATCGAGTCCCGCATAGGGCTCCCTGCTCAGCGAGGAGCCTGCTTCTCCCTCTGACCCTCCCGCCTCTCATGTACTCTCTGTCTCTCTCTCCCTCTCTCTCTCATTCTCGCTCTCTCAAATAAATAAATCTTTAAAAAAAAAAAATACAGGTTCCCATCCCAGACACTGGGAAGATGTGGTCCCGGGGTCAGGAAACCACCTTCAGAAGCCTGGCTCTGCCATTGGCCTCAGTTTCCCCATCTTTAATCTGGGATCAGGGGTGGATCCCAGCAGTCTCTATAAGGGTTTGATGAAATGAGCATCCCTGAGTGCTCACCACCTCTCATCTCATGATGCCTGACAACAGCCCCATGGGGCGTCTGTTCTTGGTCCTAGTTTTGCATAGGAGGGGGTTGAGGCACAGAGGTTAGACAGATCATTTGCCTGAGGTCACAGGCAGAGCTGACACTTGACCCCCAGCTGTTCAACTCCACGGTCCAGCTCCCAGCCATTGCCTCATGTGACATGAGGCTGCCTGGGCTTGCAGTGGAGGATCAGTGAGTGGAAGAACCTGTTGTCCCTTGACCCGGGCAAACTGAGGGTGGCTGCTCCTAGAGCCCAGCTGCGTGCAGCCTTCCAGCAGCTGGGGCAGCTCCCTCCCTCCAGGCAGCTGGCTCTTGGCCCTCTCAGGATGGAGGTATCTGGGCATCCGCCGCTGCCAGCACACCTCTCTTCCCTGTCCCCCACCCTTCCACCTGGCTGAGAAAACAGTCTTGTCCTAACCACACCTCTGCAAGCTGACCCAGCGGGAGTGTCTTGTGCCTGAAGCAGAGCCAGGCAGCAGGTGATGGATGGGGGCTCTGAAGCCTCTTGGACCCTTCGCAGAGGGAACCAGAGACACCCAAAAAGGTCCAGGCTAATTTTGGTGGGGGCTAGGGCCTTTCGGTCTCGCCGCAGTGGCCCCGTGTACCCCTAGGCAAATCACGGCGTGAGGGGGATGCAGGTGGCCTCAGCTGCAAGGTCAGCTTCCCCACGTCCTATCTGCGGGGCTGTGGGCCATCACTTCCCTTGAGTCTGTGTCTGAGTGCTGCTTCCCTCATCTACAGCCTGGGGCCATCACCTACTTGTAAGGCTGCTATCACAGCCAAATGAAATCATTAAAAACAAAAAACAAAACAAAAAAAAACCTCAGGAGGCGCCTGGCTGCTCAGTCAGCAGAACATGCGACTCTTGATGTCATGGTCATTAATTCAAGCTCCAAGGTTGGACGTAGAGTTTACTACCAAAAATGGGGGCTGGGGGGTTCCTGGGTGGCTCAGTCAGTTAAGCGTCAGACTCTTGGTTTCAGCTCAGGTCATGATCTCAAGGTCGTGGGATTGAGCCCCATGTCAGGCTCCACTGTGGGCTTGGAGTCAGCTTGAGTTTCTCTCTCCCTCTTCCTCTGCCCCTTCCCTGCTCATGTATATTCTCTCTTGCTCTTTCTCTCTAAAAGAAATAAATCTTAAAAAAAAAAAAAAAGTCTCAGCCCGGTGATCTCCATTTTTGTCAGTGGTGGTACTGGGATATGAGCATCCACTTCCTGTCGCTCCATCTCAGCCCAGACTTGGGCACCCAACCCTGCCTTGTTTGGGCCATTGCCAAAATCTCTGCCCAAGTGGATGTTGAATTTCTGATGGCTTCTTGCTTTACTTTACTCAACTTTCACCACACCCCCACCCTCCATGTTGGACTCTGTGCAGTCCATCTCCTACCCCTGCCCCCTGTGTTATACCTGGTGAACCCCCTCCCCACCAGGTGGGCTTTGTGAGCCTCCCTTCTGCCTGCCTGCCACGTGGAGCTCGTGTGCCCTCGCTCTGAGGCCGTGAGCAAGCCCTGAGGCTGGAGAGGGACTATGGCTCCTCTCCTAGTTGCAGTTCTAGAATAACAGTAGGTAACTTCTGCTTGCGCTGTGTGCTGGGCGCTGAGCCATGCAAAGCCTCATCTCCCCTAGTCCTCCCCACTATCCCAGGAGGCAGGTGTCAGGATTGGTCCTATCCTCCACCCAAGGAGACAGGGGCTCAGTGCATTTCGATGGTTCCCCAGGTTCAGCAAGGGGCAGAGATGGGATCAGAGTCCAGCCCCTAGGAAGCCAGAGCAGAGGGGCCACTGGGAGGCACCTGGGCCGCAGGTGGGTGTGGTTTGGCTGATTTCTCCCTCTGTGCAGGTCACCATCGGAATGCTCCTGCTCTCTGGAGACCCCTGCTTTAAGACGTGAGTGTGGGCGCAGGCTGGGAGGGTGCCACACAGGGACTTTTCCCTCCTCCGGGCTCTTGGGCTCCCCTGTCTTTGACCCTGAATGTGGGGCACCCCAGTCACAGCCATCTGTCCTCCCAAGGCCACCATCCACCGCCAAGTCCATCTCCATTCCGGGTCAGGACTCCTCCCTGCAGCTGACGCGCAAGGGCGGTGGGACCAGCGGCAGCGGCAGCGGCAGTGGCTCCCGGCCCCCCAAGGCGAGGCCCACCATCCTCAGCTCAGGTACCATTCCCCTTCTGCCCTCCCTGCTCCTCCCCGTGGCCCAAGGCTCATCTCCGTATCCCCAGGTCCCCAGGGGGATGCTTGCTGAGAAGACAGGTGGTGGGGTGGTGTTTACACCTGTCCATGCCTCCACTAGGCCCACGTCTGAGCCCTTCCCACGTGCTGGGCCCCAGGATCACAGCAGTGCCCTGACCTTGAAGCCCCGTCTTACAGGAGAGACAGGAGTCAATCGGGGTAATTAAGTCCACATCACCTACAGGTGTGACAGGAGCGGTGCCAGGCATGAAGAGGTGGCACTTGAGCTGAATCTGAGCTGTGGGGGGCAGTGTTGCTGGCAGAGGGAGGTGCTGTGAGCTCTCACTCTTCCACCGGCTGCGCTGCTAGGACTGGCCGTTGTGCGCGCCCGGTCTCGGCATCCTCCCCTGACTAAGGGGGCAGAAACCGTAAACTACAGTCTGGGTTGCCGTGGAGATGAGCTGAGCACACGTGTGTGCCTTGCCTGGCACACAGTACGAGCTCTATGTATTTCCCAGCGCTGGGTTTCTACTAAATTGTCATTATTATGAACGTTATAAAAAATGCAAACATATGAGGGTGCCTGGGTAGCTCAGTCGTTAAGCGTCTGCCTTCAGCTCAGGTCATGATCCCAGAGTCCTGGGATCAAGCCTGCTTCTCCCTCCCTCACTCCCCCTGCTCAAGCTCCCTCTCTCGCTGTGTCTCTCTCTGTCAAATAAATAAAATCTTAAAAAAAAAATGCCAACATCTGAACCCCCAGAGGAGACCTCATGGAGATTAAGATAGGAGGTGCTATGCTACAGGGGAAGGCTCCTGCCTCCCCTGCCACGCTGGGTCTAGAGGTGGGGCCCCCATACTCCGTCCCTGGGGGTGAGCTCGGCGCCGGGAGGCAGACTGCCCCGAGCTGACGAGTCACCCTAATTTGCACCATGAGAGCAGTTAGAGAGGGCGCGGGGCCTCGGGCGGCTCAGCGGATGTTTGCGGAGTGATTCTGCCCCCAGGACGGCTGGGAGCAGTGAGGGCCCTGGCCTCAAGGGCCAGCTTTCTTCCACTCCCGTTTTTCCTGTAGCTCAGCTAGGTAAGGCCTGGAGCTGAAAGCTGGGGGTGCCTCAGCCTGGTGACTGCTTGTAAAAACCAGGGCTTCCCAACACCATTGCTCTCTCCAGCTCTTGGGGGGGTAGTGAGCGACACCAGGCCACCCCAGCATAGATGGTGTGTTCTTCTCTGAGGAGGGGAATGGTTGAGATGAGTTCTTCCTTCCTATGACAAGAACTGGTGGGCAGGCACTCATGGGGCCCAGAGTGGATTCCCCCTGAGTCCCTTGCGCCTCCTGCTGGCGAGTGCCGGGAAGTTGGTTTCGAAGTTGGCCTCATGGGTGACTTGGGACAGGACTGTTGCCATTCCCCATTCCCCTTATTCGTTCCACTCCAGCCACACTGACCTAAACTTGTTCAAGCCTCAGGCCTTTGCTTCTGCTCTTACTCTGTTTGGAAGGCCCTTTTCCTGATGCCTTCTGTGTCTTGTTCCCTCCCAAGCCTCCTGAAGGCCTCCCAGTAAGGCCACCTCCTCAAGAGAAGTCTTCCCTGATCCCAGACTGGGTCAAACCCCCATCCACGCTGCTCCCTGCTCTCTACCGCTCACCTCAGTTGTGGTTAACTGTGGGTCATTTTTTGTTCAACATTCTCCCTTCCCGCTGGCCTGGGACACCCCATCTCCTATTTACAGCACCCAGCGGAGTGCCCCGTGCAGAGGATGTCCCCAGATATTTGTGGAATGAACAAACCTGGGCTGCGGGGGTGGACTGCGGTGGGAGCAGGGCCTCAGGTTTTTGTCTGTTAAATGGGAAACACCGAGCGTACCCTACCCCGCCGCCCACCTCCCACCCTTGCTGACTCCGGGCCAGTCCCACTGTTAAGCCTGCCGTCTCCCCGCTCCCCAGGGGTGCCGGAGGAGCCCGAACAGAACCTGTCCAGCCCCGAGGAGGTGTTCCACTCCGGCCACTCCCGCAACTCCAGCTATGCTAGCCAGCAGTCCAAGATCTCTGGTGAGTGCCCGCCCGGCCCCCTGCCCGTGGCCTTTCGCACTCCTGGCCGCCCCCCCGGCCCCCTGTAATGAGCCTCCTGAATGCCCAGCAGGCTACAGCACGGAACACTCCCGCTCCTCCAGCCTCTCAGACTTGACGCACCGCCGCAACACGTCCACCAGCAGCAGCACCTCCGGCGGCCTCAGCCTGACTGTGGAGGGCCCCGAGGGCAGTGAGCGGGAACACCGGCCCCCTGAGAAGCCTCCGCGGCCGCCACGGCCCCATCTGTCTGACCGTTCGTTCCGGTGAGCACGCCGGCCCCATGCTCCTGGAGAACAGACCCCTCCTGGGGGCTCCCTGAACCTCTGCTCCTTTACCCGTAGCACGGGGACAGCAGGGTCCCACTCAGAGGGTTGGACGGTGATGATCCAGCCAGTGGGTGGACGTGAAGGGCACAGCCTGGGCCTGGCAGGCACATGCTGTTGTGTGTGGCTTAGGGACCTAAGTCCCCCGTTTACACGCAGCGGCGGCCTCTCAGGCCAAGGTTAGGTAACCTCCCAGGGCCTCCAGCGCCTCATCCATAAAACCAGGTCACGGCACCTGTCCTGGGGGCTGAGTGAGGGTTAAAAGAGCATGACTGGGAATAGGTTCTCACGCGCGCTCAGAGCAGCCTGAGCGCTGTAGGTGCTCCCCACTGTCATCCTTGTACCTGTCCCCGGCCCAACCGCTATGACTCTGCCCTGACCCACCGCAGGCGGAAGAAGGACTCCGTGGAGAGCCACCCGACCTGGGTGGATGACACTCGGATCGACGCGGACGACATCGTGGAGAAGATCATGCAAAGCCAGGACTTTACGGACGGCAGCAACACTGAGGGTGAGCTGCCTGCGCGGGGAGGCCTGGGGGACAGTGCTACCTGCTCCAGGGCCGCCCCGGCTGCCCCTGCCCCACTCACCCTCCATCCCCCGCTGTGTCCCCACAGACAGCAATCTCCGGCTGTTCGTGAGCCGTGACGGCTCCACCACGCTGAGCGGCATCCAGCTGGCAAACAGGTAGGGGTGGCGGTCGTGGCCTTGGGGCACGCTGCTGAGAGCATGGTCTCGACAGACACTGACCTGGCTTTGAATAGCAGTTCTTCCCACCACAGTGTCATCTTGGACCACTCACTTCTCTCTCAACCTCAGTTTCCCTGTCTGTCAAATGGCATGGACCACACCGTCTCACCTAGAAACCTGGGGTTGGTTACAAGGGTAGCTTGGGAAGTGCCTAGCACGGGGCTTGGCACACAGTGCGGGCTTTATCTGTCTTTATTTGGGACCCTGCTTTTCCCTTCCTTCTGGATCTGGGAACCCCTAAAAATGATGATGATGACTCGTTTTATTGAATAAATATTTATTGCGCACCAGCCACACACCAAGCACTGAGCTAGGTGCTGGGGATACAGCAGTGAGCAACACGGATTTGTGCTTGTGTGATGTTTACCTATGAGGGTGTGGTAGGCTGAACCTGGTGCTTCAACTCTACAGTTTGTAGCATGTTTACTGGCTCACTGAATGAGTGAATGAGTAGAGGAGCTCCCTCTGTGCAGGGCTGTGCTGAAGCCTTTCCCCCTGTCCCCCTGGGCTGGCCAGGAAAGTGTGCATTTAACATCCAAGGGCTTGGGGGCGGGGGGTTGGATGGAGACCTAGCTGGGCTGGGGGCGGCGGGTGGGGGATAGGGGGAGGGGGGCGGTGGTCCCCAACCTTCCCTCTGGTGCTGCTATACTGACACCTGCTGGCCGAGGCTAGAAATTGCATCCGCCGGCTCCCCATGGCTTCCTGGGCTGTCCCCGGTGAGGTGGGCAAGAGGAAGACAGAGGGCACCTCCTCCGAGGTTTACACACCCCTCCCTAGCCCCCTATGACAGTGAGGAAATGGGTTCAGGGGATGGAAGAAACCAGTTCAATCAGGAGCAAGGTCTCAGCAGAGCTGCACACCGAGCCCTGAATGTCCATGACGCTATGGGTGGGTCTCGCTTCAGCCGGGAGAAGAGCTCCCCAACGTTCTGTCCGCTTGGTAAGCTTCATCATCCCGCTGTGCCTCAGTTTCTTCATCTGTCAAACGGGGCAGGATGCAGTCGTTCCCTGCCAGGGCTGCCATGAGGATGGGCGCAGCACACCTCTGTGTGTAAGCCACTAGTGCTCAGGAAGGGCTCAGGCACAGCTCACACCAGCTCTGAGATCCCAGAGGCTTCAGTACTTAACATCTGTGTTACCTTGGGCAAGTGACTCAACTTCTCTGAGCCTGAATTTGTCCCTCTGTGAAGCAGGGCCAGTTAGTTCACAGGGCCAACTTGTGAAGTCCTTCCCAGGGCCTGCCCCACAGGAGCATCTAGGAGGACAAGCTGACCTGTTTCTCTCCTCCCCTCCCCCGCAGGGTCTCCTCTGGGGTCTATGAGCCTGTTGTGATCGAAAGCCATTGAGGAGCGGGTGTCCAGGCTGGAGAAGGGCCCCGCCTCCGCGGGCATCCAAGCCCACATCATTCCACGAGGGACCTTCCCCTTCGGCTCGCCATCCAAGCTGCATCTCATCTGTGCCTCCTCCGTGTACTCCAGCCCCACCTCCTACCCCAAAACATCATTCCATTGTCCTCCCATCCGTCCCGGGACTCTCCTGGCCCACCAGGCCCCAGGCACCACTGTGAATATTCTCCTCTGAACCACTAGGGGGCAGGACGTGCAGGTCCATGAAGCAGGTGGACAAGACAAAGATGGCCAGGCCTGCCTGGGCTGGAGACCAATCTGGCCCCTCGGCGAGGACAGGCGGCAGCACCTACATGCAGGGATGCTTGTGGCCGAGGGGCCACTTGCCCTGTGTCCCTGCTCACTCCGGCAGCATTGGCTCAGCCTGCCCTGGCAGGGCCTTGCTCTACTGCCCCCTCGCCCTTGGGAGAGCCAGTCTGCCCCCAGAATCCTGCCACCACGGCCCTCTGACTGCTTAGTGCTTCAGCTGTTCCTTCCCTGTGTCCCGGGGGACCCGCTGGCGGCCTTCTCCTGGGAACCAAGACCTCAGACCCATCCACACTCCAGATTGAGACCCCCTTCCCCAATGAATGTTCTCCTGCTGCCCCGGCAGCCTGCACTTTGCACATGCTTGCCTCCAGCACAGCCCCACTGGCCCTTGTCTGCCTTTCCCTTGAGCCCTTCGCAAGGGTTTCTGAGCACTGCCTGCTGTGCGGTCAGCGCCTTGCCCCTAGCAGCCCGGCTGGAACGTGGCACTGCCTCTCCCCCAGTTAGCTCCAGCTCAGGCCTGACGCCCATGCTGAAAAAGGTCTGAGCATTGATGGTGGCTCTCCTCTGCTCGGGGCTGGATCCTGAGCAGCTGGTTTCCTGTAGGAAGCCACGGAAGGTGCCTCCCAAACCCTTGGAGGTTGGCAGTCGGGCTGGGCTGGGCTTGGCAAGCAAAGGCCCCTCTCTGTCCCTGGAGGGTCGCCTAGCCCAGTCTGGGGCTGATGCTGGAGAGGCAGGTGGGCTGAGACTGGACTGGCCTGGAGCTGGCTTCCTGGCCAGAAAAGCCTCAGCCCTCCTCTGGAAGCATCCCTCTCTCTGGGCGAAGGAGAGGCGGGGAGCAGTCTGGCCCTGCCCCTGCCCCTCACTAAAGCCTCTGCTGTCTGCCACGCCCCCTCCCCTGTCTTCCTTACTTGCTTGAAGGTGGGTTCTGGCTGCCCACCAGTCCCTGGACAGACTTCCTGCCACTCTGAAGTTTCACTCGTTTTGTGTGAACCCAGCAGGCTGGTGTTTACTTAGTCCTGTACCTTTTTTCTTTTTTTTTTAAATTTCCCTTTCTTTTCTTTTCTTCCTTTTTTTTTTTTAATTTCACAGTTTGGGTATTTTCTCCTCCCCCAGGTGAGGGGAGGTGGTTCTGTTCTCTGCTCTACCTGCTGGCTGGGTCCCAGCAGGGCTGGGGATCTGGATACTGGTTCTCTCCCTGGTAGAGGTGCGGGTGCCAGTGAGGTGTCCTCCCCAGGCTGGGAGGGCTCCTTGCTGTTATGCTCCAGCTGGCAAGAGTTGGAGCCTTTGTCTTGGAACCTCCTGGCCTTGGGAGCAGAGCATTTCTAGGATTCTTTGTTGTTGTTTTTAATCCCCTAACTCTTAGAAAATGAATGTGAGGAGCTGCCTGCTGAGACAGGACAGAGCATTTGCTCGGCTGGAGAAGGCTCTGGTTAGCCCTGCAGGTCTCTTCCTGCTCTGCAGACACCTGGCACTTTAAAAGGGAGCTGGCTGTGCTGTCTCCAGATGAAGGGAACCCAGAAGATGGGAGAGCACTCTCCTTCCCTTCTGTGTCTGCATGACCTCAGCCCAGTGGGGAAGTGCATTCAGGGTGTATTTGGGATCTGGCTCAAAGTTCTGGGCTTCAGGTATAAAACAACTAGCTCTGGTGCTGTTGGAGAGTCCCCCAAACCAGGAACCCTAGCCCCACCCAAGGCAAGGTCTGGGCTTGATGGTCGCCCCAGAAGGACACAGAGCCTGCCACAGCCTCCCCTGCCAGGCCCTAGGCCAGGGTAATTAGACTGAGAATTTGGCCATATCCAAATTAACACTAGCTGGAGCCAGAGGCCTGAAGCCCCAGCCTCATCCCCACGTGGGAGCCCATTCTTCAACCTCTGGGTCCCCTCAAGCTCAGTGAATTCCTGCCAGGCACACACAGCTCCTGGACTTAAAATTCTATATATAGAGAAAGATGGACTATATTAGAGATATTTTTGGAAAGGAATCAGTCTATGCAATGCCAGTTTGGAATCTTCTTGAAAGGCAGTTTAACGTTTTTACTAGGAGATTTAAAGAAAAGTCTACAATATTTTTAGGTTACTTTTTTTCTGGTCACCCCAAACTGACCACACGGTGTGATCTGCTGGGATGGAGATCTGCCGTGTTCTCTCTCTTGAGCTGGGAAATGGGTGGGGGTGGGGGTGGGTTTGTTTTTGTTTTTGTTTTTTGATCTTAAAAAAAAATCCCCTCCTTTCTAAGAGAATGTTGCCACCACCACCACCACCACCCCTTATTCAGAGGGCTGTGTTTGTATCTCTGTCCCGGCTTCTGTTGTAGAAAATCACATTGTAAGGGGAAATCAGCCTAGTGTCAGTGTCTTGGTTTGGGGGAAAAAATTAAATGTTGCAGTTTTTGTTTGTTACGGCATGTTGGGTTTTGTTTGTCTACGGCGTGGTCAGCATCAGAAGAAAGCCGGATATGTAGGTTGACATCTGGGCATGGGGAAGGATGTGGGTGGCCAAGGTCCTCCCTCCTGGCCGCTGTCACAATCATTACCACCTTTATCACTCCAGGTTTCCAGGGAGGAAATGAGGCCCAGAAGGGCCATTTATTGCCACCCTCACACCTAGTTAAGTAGCAGCTCTGGTCTCAGCACAAGTTCTAACCACCGGACCTTCCCAGCAGTCAGCCTGAGACAAATAACTGTCTGGGCCTCAGTTTCCTCAGCTGTAAATGGGCCTGTGGTTGAAAGAAGAAAGTGGGTGTACAGCCTGGCACAGGAGGTTTTGAGTTTGTTCCCAACCTCTCTCAAGTCCCAGGCCACGGCGGTCTCCAGGCCTGAGCCCCTCACTTCCTGCCCCCAACCAGCAGGGGGAGTCAACAACTTAGCCAAGCTCTGAGAAACGCAAGTCAGCCTGGCCCTTTAGCTCAGACGTGGCAGGAAGCCTCAGTGGCTGTGGACAGGCCAGAAGGGACCAGGCCTCCAGGCCTCCTCCCTGCTGCAGCTTGGCATTGTCCGCACCCCCTTCTCAGGGCCGACACCCATTCAATGGCCCCTTTAAACCCTGGAGGCTGATTTTAAGTCTCTTCCTCTGTTCTGCACAGCACACCTGGGGAGGGGAAAGTTGGCTCCTGGCTGAGCCCAAAGTCTGTCCTGAGACTGAGAGGGAAGGCATTAGGCTGTAGGCCAAGAAGAGTTGTTCCTATCAGCTTTGAAGAGTGCAGTCCCCATAGAGACGGGCTCAGTGACTCAAGGAGACATGCTGCCAGCAGGAGCAAACCATGGCTGGTTCAGAGACATCTCTGCAAGTGTGTCCGCCCCTCCCCCACTCCCCATTCTGGGCACTAAGGATACAGCCGTGACCGCAGACCCTATCCCCATGGAGCTCACAGGCCAGATCAACAAGGAAATGAGCTAGCTAAAACGACAAGCGTTATCCACGGAGGCACTCTGGGGGCTGTGGAGGACAGGAGGGAGCCCCTGCCCAGCTGTGAAGGGGCCCCTCTGGGATGTGTGGCATCCCAGTGAGACCTGATGGGTGAGGGGCAGCCAGCCCCGCAAGCTGTGGGAAGACAGTGTTCCAGACTGGGAGGGACCTGCGTGCGGAGCCAGTCCGACGATCCATCTGTGCTGCTGCTGCCTGGGCTGCAGCGACACCCAGGGCCCAAAAGGCAGATGGTGAGGAAAGGGAGGGTCACCCTGACCTCCTCATACCTGCAGTGAAGAGAGGACACCTAGGAAGGGTCGCCTAGGAAGCCAGGCGATGGTAAGGGGGCGCTCCCCTCACAGCCAGTGGGAATCCTCCCATCCCTGGGGACCTGGGCCACCCCCACCCCCCGCCCGTCATCCCACCCCAGGTGGGGCAACACTCTCTGCACCCCTCTCGACAGACAAGTTGGGGCCTCGATACTAGGAAATAAGGCCCCCAGGTTCCGGTGTCGGCTTCACCACTGACTCGAATTGTGATCTCCAAGTCTTCGCCCCTCTCTGAGCCTCATTTTCCCCATCTGAAACCTGGGACCTCTGACCTCCCACGCCATCCCGCTCTGGCTTTGGGATCCTGGGATATTTGGAGATGGACTTTTGCTTCTGGGGCGAGTTCGGCAGGACTGACGGCACGAGTGCCAGCCAGTCTGGGTCCCCCACTCGATTCCATTCCTTAGGGAGAGTCGGGGAACAGCGTGACCCACGATACCCTTGGAAACTACATTTCCCGGCATGCGAAGGGGGAGGTGGCACCCTCCTGTCTAGGGACACGTAGTCCCCGGCCCGCCTAAAGACTACGACTCCCGGCGTGCCCTGCGGCCCAGGGCCTGAAGGGCCCGGATCCGGATCTGCGGTGGCTTGCAGCTCGGGTGTGCGAGTGCCGGGGAGATGGTGAGCTCCGGGCCGAGTGCTGGGGGCGCGGGGTGCGTCTCGGGTGGGGTCTGCCCGGGAGCCGGGGCTTAGGCACTCGGAGCCCTGAGTGCTGTCCCGCGGGCCCACTGTACGAATGAAAACCCCGCGGCCCCGCACTCTCCGAGCCTAGAAAGTGATACCTGGTCAGGCCTGTCTCCTTCTGTTGAGTGAATGGGAAGCTAAGAGCGCAATAATTCTGCGACGCCACCCGCCAGTAGTGCACCTAAATGGGGAGTTCCTTCCTCAGTTGAGCCCTCCTTTTCTTCAGGCCACGGGGACAGACCAGGTGGTGGGACTCGGCCTCGTCGCCGTTAGCCTGATCATCTTCACTTACTACACCGCCTGGGTGATTCTCTTGGTATGTGTGCTCCGCCCCCCTCGTCTCACCTTCGACCCCTGGATCTTGAAGCCGACCCCTCGCATCATTTAAGCAGCTGCTATGTACCAGGCGCTGTGCTAGGTGCTTTCCCTGCCCTCATCTCCTGAAATCTTCAGAACAGCACTATGAGGATGCTTGGAGGTGTCCCAGTTTATAAGTGAGGAAGCTAAAGCTCAGGAAGAAGGGTCGGGCCCTTGACGCTACACTGTAAAGCCCTATTACTGATTCACTTTTGCCTTTGATTGGAGTTCTGGTCCTTCTGGGATATCCTGCTGGCTCCCGGGCATGATGAGTGCCAGTAGATTTTGTGAGGGCTTTTAGGGTTTTTTTTTTTCTTGTGGGAATATTTGTTGGTTACTGCTTAAGAAGTGCAGTGTGTTTGGAGGGCTAAAACTTAAAGAACTTTGGAGGAAAATGTTAGTAAAGACCTTGGAGCCCACTTGAGGATTCCTCCTGTACCTTTGCCCCTGTAGGGCTGTGAGTGCCTTAGGGCAAGGCCCTCGTCTTCTGTTCATTGCCAGGTCCCCCGCACCACCTTAGGGCAGGCATCAGGCAAGTGTGCAGTGAACAACTATTCAGTAAGTGAATGAAGGAAACAAACCAGAATGCCCCAGATTAGCATCATCTTAAAGCAAAGCAGGTGCTGTCCCAGTGCTTTGGGGTTAGCCCCTGAGATGGAGGAAGGGCGGTGTTTGGCCTTGAGGGGCTGGGCCCGGCAAGGAGCGCTCACCAGAGCTCTGTCCTCGATACCAGCCATTCATCGACAGCCAGCATGTCATCCACAAGTACTTCCTGCCCCGAGCCTATGCTGTCGCCATCCCTCTGGCTGCCGGCCTCATGCTGCTCCTGTTTGTGGGTAAGTCATCAGTCCCTCAACCCTGAGCAGGGTGTCTGGGGGTTCCCACAACCCTCTCCCATCCCCTGAACATGCTTCCACACTTTAGCACTTGCAGTACACCTGCTTGGGGCCCCTGGCCCCCAGCTTACCCCCCAGGGTTTTCCTGTTCACCCTTCTGGGCTGCTCGTCCCCATGCCTCAGACTCATTGGTCTCAAATGTGATGGCCCTAATGGGGTGTCTCCCTTCTTCCTGCTCCCTCTGCCACTACCATCATCACTCTGCTCACACTTCAGTCACCTTTCACCCCCTTGTCACCCACTGGCTCATGACCCCTGCCCCTCTCTGTCTCCCAGCGTTTATGTGTGGGCTTCTCTGGGCCGGGGACTGTAGGTTCATCATTATTATTATGTCCTCAGCTCCTGGCACCGAGTCGGTGCCCAAGAAAGTGGTTTGGATGAGTCACTTGGATGACTGGGTGGTGGGGTGGGTGGTGGATGCGGAGTAAGCAGGTGGGTGGGTGGACAGGTGGTTGATTGGGTGGGTAGACGGATAATTGAGCGGGTTTTGTGCCCTGTGGAATCTAAAACACTAAGTGTAGCCATTCACCTGTGTAGGCACTCCTCCGTTGGTGTTTGTTGAATACACAGGGGTTGGTATGTGGCTTGCTGAGTGACCCGGGAGGTGATGCTGGCTTGGAGGGTGGTTGGGCAGGTGCTTGGCCCCGTGTGCGGGTCGTTCCACCACGCTGTGCGCTGCTCTGGCCTCCCAGCAGCCCCAAGCCTGGATCTTACTTGGCTTTTCTGGTCTGTGTATTTCCAGGACTGTTCATCACCTACGTGATGCTGAAGAACCAGAAAGTGACCAAAAAGGTTCAGTGAAGGCCCAGCAGGGCTGAGGCTGCTGGCCCTTCCTCTGCCTCCCCTCCAAAGGTGGGGTGCATAGGACCCATCCAGGCACTGCAGCCCCCTCCAGCCTGGCTGCCCTGCAGACATCCCCGTGGGATGGAGCTGCTTGGGACGTACGACACAGGCCTGCTCCTTCCCTGCTCAACCTTCCAGAAGCCAGGAGGGAGGATTACCTGGAAGCCTCCCCCTCACCCCTTTCTGGCTCAGGGCCTGAAAGATGCCGGTCATCCCTACCTCACCTTCAGACTCCCTGTTGCCTTCTCCCCTGGGTTCTACCCTTGTTTCAGTTTCCTTCCTGTCACCTGCTGATGTTGGACTTGGTAGGTTCCAAGCATCATGCGACCTTTCCCCACATGTCCTGCTCCTCCTCGGAGACAGCTTTCCCAGGTCTGACATAGCCCCAGGCCCCACAAAGCCTAAGGGGAGAACTGACAGGCTCTGGGGTTACCCCCAGGCCTCAGGGTCCATTAGGATGGCCACAGTGGGCCCCCAGACCAACTGCTTCTCATAGAGGCCCAGCCCCCCAGCCCTAGCGCTGGCCTCTTGGGGAGAGCTGAACAATAAACACTGATGATGTGTTTGTCTCTCTTGCGTCCCTGAGCGGGGGGGCTGGGCTGCTCAGGGGCTGGAGAGGGGCTGGTCTCAGGTCATGAGACGTGTTCGCGCAGTGTGCCTCAGGTGCCTCCCAGATTGTCCCCGTGCTGGACCCAGGATAAAGTGGGGACTGAAACAGATGTGGTTCCAGCCTGGTGCAGCTCACGGATGGGGAGTTGGCGGAGGCCTGGCAACGTGCCACACACCACATCAGCCTCTACTATGCCTCCCCTGCACCAGCCCAGCTAGCGTGCACTGGTATTTTAGGGACCCTCGGGCCAGTCCCCTAAAAACCCAAGTCCATCGTCCATCTCTTGTACCCAACAGCCCAACCTAGTGTGGCTCTGAGCAGTGAGAGGTGGAGAACCAGAGCAGGGCTACCTCTGGTCAGGTTGAGTGATCTGGCACAGGCCCAGCCCCGTCTCCCTGCCGCAATCCCAACACACCCCCCACCCCACGCAGCTGGGTGTCCCGTCCGCAGTGCCTAGTTTAAGCCTCCGTCACACCCCGGATGATGTTCACTCCGGTTAGCAGAGATGTCTCCCTCATCCGAGAACAGAGGCTGACTACAGGCACGCCTGCCCCGCCCCCACCTGTCCCATCTTCCCCTGCTATGGCAGTCCTGTCTCCGATGGTCCCCTTCTCACAGGGACAGCCCCTGCCTCTCACCAGGCTCCTCCTGGCGTGTCATGAGCCTGCCCAGGCCCCCACGTAAAGGACCCTCCATCAACCCAATAATTCCCTCCAGGTCTCCCCTTCTCCCCTAAATAGCCAGATTCCCAAAAGGGCGTCCAGCCCGCTGCCTGCAGCTCCTCACCTTCACTGTGTTCAGCATCACTCCTGGAGGGCTGCACCCACTCAGACTCCCTGTTGACCCCATGTTGGCCCGTGACATCCCCGTGGATGCACCTCAGATGCTCTCAGTGTCCGTGAGGATTCATTCTCATACTTTGTCTCCCACGCTCCACTTCCGCCATGACACGGTGGGCTCCTTGGGACTTGGTCACAAGCCTCACCCCACCCTTCTCCTTACCCAGGCGCTCCTCCTGAGCCCTGATGTATTGCCCATGCACCAGTTAACTGCCATCGGATGTCATAGTGGCTCCTCAAATTCATCCTGTCATGATCTGAATTCTCAGACTCCCCCTCCCCAGTTTCCCCTCCCAGCCTCTTCCATGACTGGCATCATCCTGTGGCCCTAACCCCAGCCAGAGGCCTGGCACACATCACTGACCTTGACTTCCTCCTCCTAGCCCCCATCTGCATGACCCCAAATCCTGTCAGTTCTCCCCTTTTCTCTCCTCCCCCCACCAGTCACCTCTCTGATGCAAAGGCTCCCTCCTCTGCACTAAGTCACCCAAAGAGTCCTCCCCCCCCATACACACACTCTGGCCCCTCCAACGTGACTATACATGACAACCATGGCCTTTTAAGAACATCTGAGCATCTTTCTCATACACATAAGAGAAGCTGAATGCTCGTTCTCTTCTCACTCCAGCTCCCCTGGCCTTTCATTTCCTGGGATTCACTGAGGCCCTTCGCACGTCCTACTCACGTTGGTTCAGCATATACTTATGAAACCCTGGTTTGTGCCAGACACTGAGCCAAGAAGGGAGCCCAGCACGGTTCCTGCCCTCCTGGTGCTTCCATCCTGGGGGGGGGGGGATACAATAAATAAGTGAACAAGATGATTTCTGGCAGTGTTAAGTGTGATGAAGAAAATAAAACAAGGTAATGTGATCAAGAATGAGGGGACACTGGGGCACCTGTGTGGCTCAGTTAAGCATCTGCCTTCAGCTCAGGTCATGATCCCAGGGTCCTGGGATCGAGCTCCATTTCGGGCTCCCTGCTCAACGGGGTCTGCTTCTCCCTCTCCCTCTGCCACTTCCCCTGCTTGTGCTTTCTCTCTGTCAAATAAATAAACAAAATCTTAAAAAATAAAAAGAATGAGGGGACACTTAGAGTCGGGCAAGGTGACTGTAAAGAATAGGTCAAAGGAAAGCCTAAGGGAAAGGATTTCAAGCAGTGGGAAGAGCACCCGCAAAAGCCCCAGGTGTGAAAGAATTTTATGCCTAAGGACCAGCCGGGGGAGCCCCTTGTAGCTGTCTGGTGGGTGTAGGCAGAGTGGTTTGAGATGGGCCTGGGGCCGTGGCAAGGGGTGTGGATTTTGTTCCAGTGCAGAGGGAAGCCACTGGAGGCTTTAAGCATGAGAGTGACATCATCCGATTTATGCTTTTAAAAGATCAGGCTGGCAGCTGTGTTCCTCCCTCTCGCTCACCGCTGACCCCCCAGGGCCTAGCGCTGCTCCTGCCGTTGGTGAGTGGTCAAAACAGGCCTTGAACGAATGCATGCCCCGGACTTCCTGTGTGACCTGGAGGTACTCACTTTTCCCTCTGGACCTTAGTTTCCTCACCCGAGGGACAGTCGGTGGGAATTTCACGCCAGAGTGGGTGGGCGGGATTTGGATTTAGGTTTCCCGCCTCCCCAAACGGCCCCGAGACCCAAGCCCCCCACTTGAGGAGACGAACTGGGTGGGGGGGGTCTTCCCTCCTGGCGACCCTAAGCAACGGCGCGGCGGCCCCACCCCGGCTTGGACCGCGGTCTGAAGGATGCTGCAGCCCCGGGGGCGGGACCCGCAGGCGATCGCCGGCGCCTCCCGCGCGGATTGGGTGCAGCCGTGACCGGCACCGCGCTATTGGTCGGTCCAGAAGCAGGGGCGGGGACCGGCTCCTGCAGCGCGGCGGCAGGGACGCGGCCGGAGCCCGGGAAGCTGCTGCGGGGGCGATGGCCGCACCGAGCCCGGGACCCCGCGAGGTAGGTGCGGACCCAAGAGAGGACAGGAGAGGGAAGGGTTGGGGGACAGGGCCCAGGCCTCTCCTCCCCGTGCAGCGCGGACACACCCCCATCCAAGCCCTGGAGGGGTCCAGCCCTGGGCGGGGACCAGGACACGCCCCACACGGGGCCGCAGGTATGGAGGGGGAAGTCTGGCGGGTGTCCCCAGAGAACTTCCTCGGTTTTCTCATCGGGGAAAAAGCTCCTCCTTCATAGGGCTGTTAGCAAGTCAAGCCCTCGGCCAGTGCTGGGCACATGGTGGGTGCCCACTACGAATGGGTGAGCTGCTGTGAGCTCAGCTTCGTGCTGACCCTCCGCTCGGCCTGGAGGAACTCCGCATAGACGAGCGGAATAGATGACCGAGTCCCTGGCGTCACAGCTCCTAGTATCAAGGGTTCCTGTGCTTGGAGCAAATATCAAACTGCCACGAAGGAGTTATTATAGTTGTCATTTTACGGATGAGAAAAGGAGATGCAGAAAGGTTAGGTGACTTACCTAAGATCATACAGCTGATGAGAGACAGGTTTGGTTGCGGAAAGCATTATCTACCTACTGATAATAATTCTATTCTGGGTGCTGACCGCATGCCAGGCACTGCGTGGCCCATCACAACACCCAGTGAGGTGGGTACCAGCATTATCGCTGTTTTACGACCGAGGAAACTGAGGCAGAGAGCGATAATAGGAGGGCTCACAAGTATTGGAGGTGGGACTCAAACCCAGGTCTTTCCCCTCTGGGATGCTTCCATGCGCTCATTGCTTCTTGTGCCTCCTGCCATCAGGTCCTGGCCCCCTCCCCAGAGGCTGGATGCAGAGCAGCCACCTCGACCTCCGGCCGCCGTGGCCTCCTCTGGCGTCTTCGAGACAAGCAGGCTCGCCTTGGCCTGTTTGAGATTGGCCCGGGGCATGAGCTGCACCAGCTGACATGCATGATGCAGACAGGGCTGTGGGCTGCCACCCAGGTCTCCATGGACCACCCACCCACAGTGAGTGGCCCATCTGTGTCATGCACCTCCTCGGTACCGAGGGCAAGACCGCGCGGATGCCAGGTCCTGCTAATACCGCAGGGTCGGGGATCAGAGAGGACTGTACGAGGAGGAAATCAGGCGCTTGGTGCAGGGAGGGAGGGACATGCTGGGGTGGGGGCTGAGGCCAGGAAGCTGCAAAGCCAGGTGTGTACTGGGGATGTGAGGAACCCCTTGACCCCAGGTGGTTGTTGTGCAACTCTAGATGGGCCTCTGCTTCTTTGGACCTCAGCGCCCCCATCTGTATAATGGGTGTGGGGGGGATTGTACTCCTCCGTCTCTGATGCCCTCCTGGCTCTGCTAGGGTGTATGGCTGAGAAAGGACCCCACCCCCACCCCACCAGCCTGGCCCATCCTCCCCGGAGCTCAGGCTGGGGCCAGGCTGGCTCAGCAGAAAGGGTCGCCCAACTGCAAGCTCAGCAGCTGGACAGGCCAGGACGAGCATGTGTGTTGTGTGTGTGTGTGTGTGTGCGCACGCGCGCACACACACACACACACACACGTGTGCACAGTGTGACCACATCCCACAGGCCAAGTCCTGGCACAGGGACCTAGAGGTCCAAGAAGAGTGTAGGAGCCTGGGTAGGGGGTAGGGGGGGCACGGTCTTCTAAATCTCATAACCTGCTGACAATCTTCCATGGCTCCCCAGTACTCAGCATGGCCTCAGGATTCTGCTGGCTCAAGTCCAAGGACCAACTGTCCAGCTGCATTCTTCACTCTATCCCTCCCTTAATTATTTCAATCACTTGAGCTCTCCTGCCCTTCCGGTGACCACCAATGCTGTTCTCCCTGCTAGGAGCACCACCTTTCAGATATCAGCTTAGAGGTCACCTCCCCCAGGAAGGCTTCTCTGATCCTGCCCTTCTCACACTGAGTCAGGCACGTCCCTTGGCTTTAAGGCCATCCCCTTTCACTGGGATGGCATCTGGCCTCACTAGGTCAACATGTGCTTCTGGGTCAATGGACGAAGCTCTGAGTTCTGGTCTCTGTTTGCTGGAGCAAGCACACTGAGGGAAGTGGGTGAGGCCAGGTGCAGGACTCTTGAGATCCTGGAGCTGGCAGTGTGGGGCAAAGACTTG